GATGGCATCTCTGGTACCCACCGGGCCCCTCAAGTCCTGTTTCAGGTGCGGCCAGGCACAAGGGGAGCACCGGAACCTTCCATCATCTCTGGGCTTTGCTGCTATGTGACCCACTGAGACCATAGAAGCCAAATCTGTCCCTCGCACCAATCCTGACATCGAGTGTTATGTGGGATGGCATTTCACAGGGAGACTCGCATGGAGGTTCTCTTTAATATGGGGGGTAACTGGTCAGCCAGGTTCTGCGGTGATCTCATTTCTTGTTGGGCTCCTGGTAGAACATATAGGGGCCCGGGATGTAGAGCAAAGGCTCTCAGGGCTCCCAGAGTCCTTGAACAGGACAGACATACCCCCCTGTCAATGCTCACCATACCAGCAGTGCTGAGCACAGGGTCCCCAGAGTGTCCATTTATGGGGTACAGACCGGACCCCTACTAACCCATCAGAGACCCCAGAGTGTCCATTTATGGGGTACAGACCGGACCCCTACTCACCCATCAGAGACCCCAGAGTGTCCATTTATGGGGTACAGACCGCACCCCTACTCACCCATCAGAGTGTCCATTAATGGAAGTTTACACTGCAATGCTCATCCCCAACCATGAGCAATAGAGGTTCTCACGTGGAAGCTGCAGGATGGGAATGTCGCGGTGTGAGGGTCCCTCCAGGTCAGAGCCAATAATTGGGGCTTTGGCCCCTTGATGAGCTGAGTCCATTGGGGTCCATCACCCCCCTATTGTCAGATTGTACACCAGTCTAAGGTATAGCCGGTGCAGACCAGCGGGCCACCATGTCTCCGGGCCTTTCCTCCAGGACCAATAACAGGTGATGACTTCCAGGGTCTTCTGTGGTGTCACGGCCAAGGAACATCGGTATACCCAACGAGTCCGATACCATGGTGCCATGATGTGTGATAGTCTGCAGACTCTTGAAGTCTCCCCGTAGGTCAGCTCATCGCATCTCCTGAAATGGGAACGGTGGAGAGGAGATCTGGATGGATTCCTGCGATCCCGTTGGCCATATTGGTCCTCCACATCTGGCAGAGACCATGTGATCAATCCTTGGCCTGGGTCACATGACCGGCATCGTAATCTATAATTGGAGGATCTCCACCCCTCTCTCTGCCGCTACCTGGAAGTGCGGAATCGTCACCTGTTGGCTGCACCGGGGGAAAGGTTTGTGATTGGCCGCCAGTCAGACCTCCAGCCTTCCATGTCCACTAACCGACTAACCCAGTAACCCGTCACTCCATGTGTCCTCATCAAGTCACCTGGTTGGCTGGTTCAGGTCTCCGGACTGGAAGGAGTAGCGGGGGCGGGGTAAGACCCCCGTGGATGTGTGCTTGCGGGTTCTTCTCTCACCCTCTCTGGTGGCGGTTTTGGTTTGAGAACCTTTGTGGGGCTCGGCCGGGTCCGGCAATACAAAGGAGGCGAGTCTCTGGTTTCTCATTGGCTGGTTTGGGTCAGGTGGTGGTACTGGTGCCGGTGGAGGATCTGTTATACAGGATGTATAAACCACGAATGGGCCCCCGTCCAGCCCTACAGCAAGGAGGACTATGTGTCAGCAGCTGAACACAGCACCCACCACCACCTGGGGCACAAGAGGTGGACACGGTATGTGGAGGCCTCACGGCGACTCTCTGAGGTGTCCCATTCAGTGTTCAGAGAGCCGGGGCCAGAGACATGTTCTTGAATCACCCAAGAAGGTCATTCTCAAGGGGCCACTCGCTGTCATACGGGGTATCCTTGGGGGCCCCTGGAGCAGTCCAAACACAGTGTAAAGAATTAGTAACAAGTCCAACAACAGTTCATTCATCTGGATAAAGAAGAGAAACCCAACGCGTTTCAGGAGCTCAAATCTCCTCATCATCAGGGCTGAGAACCAAAACCAATATCAATTCATTTATATAGAAGAATATATATCATATAATAAAAGGAGGATGTATATATAATATAATAGAAGGAGGATGTATATATAATATAATAGAAGGAGGATGTATATAATATAATAGAAGGAGGATGTATATATAATATAATAGAAGGAGGATGTATATAACATAATAGAAGGCAGA